AACTCCCTCCAAAGATTTTCTATGGGGTTGAGATCTGGAGACTGGCTAGGCCACTCCAGGACCTTGAAATGCTTCTTACGAAGCCACTCCTTCGTTGCCCGGGCGGTGTGTTTGGGATCATTGTCATGCTGAAAGACCCAGCCACGTTTCATCTTCAATGCCCTTGCTGATGGAAGGAGGTTTTCACTCAAAATCTCACGATACATGGCCCCATTCATTCTTTCCTTTACACGGATCAGTCGTCCTGGTCCCTTTGCAGAAAAACAGCCCCAAAGCATGATGTTTCCACCCCCATGCTTCACAGTAGGTATGGTGTTCTTTGGATGCAACTCAGCATTCTTTGTCCTCCAAACACGACGAGTTGAGTTTTTACCAAAAAGTTCTATTTTGGTTTCATCCGACCATATGACATTCTCCCAATCCTCTTCTGGATCATCCAAATGCACTCTAGCAAACTTCAGACGGGCCTGGACATGTACTGGCTTAAGCAGGGGGACACGTCTGGCACTGCAGGATTTGAGTCCCTGGCGGCGTAGTGTGTTACTGATGGTAGGCTTTGTTACTTTGGTCCCAGCTCTCTGCAGGTCATTCACTAGGTCCCCCCGTGTGGTTCTGGGATTTTTGCTCACCGTTCTTGTGATCATTTTGACCCCACGGGGTGAGATCTTGCGTGGAGCCCCAGATCGAGGGAGATTATCAGTGGTCTTGTATGTCTTCCATTTCCTAATAATTGCTCCCACAGTTGATTTCTTCAAACCAAGCTGCTTACCTATTTCAGATTCAGTCTTCCCAGCCTGGTGCAGGTCTACAATTTTGTTTCTGGTGTCCTTTGACAGCTCTTTGGTCTTGGCCATAGTGGAGTTTGGAGTGTGACTGTTTGAGGTTGTGGACAGGTGTCTTTTATACTGATAACAAGTTCAAACAGGTGCCATTAATACAGGTAACGAGTGGAGGACAGAGGAGCCTCTTAAAGAAGAAGTTACAGGTCTGTGAGAGCCAGAAATCTTGCTTGTTTGTAGGTGACCAAATACTTATTTTCCACCATAATTTGCAAATAAATTCATTAAAAATCCTACAATGTGATTTTCTGGAGAAAAAAAATCTCAATTTGTCTGTCATAGTTGACGTGTACCTATGATGAAAATTACAGGCCTCTCTCATCTTTTTAAGTGGGAGAACTTGCACAATTGGTGGCTGACTAAATACTTTTTTCCCCCACTGTAGGTATTTCAAATCGCCAGTTTATTCGCACTCAATGCCCAACCTTTCCAATTCTATCACCCGGATCGGGTCTGGATGGCCTTTTGAAAACACCTTTTCAACTAAAGGGACTCATATCCCGTATTTTTGAGATAATAATGTCCCTTGATAACACGTCACTCAATAAAATCTGATCTGAGTGGGAAAGGAAAATTGGTGGAGAGATCTGAATGGTACCTTACTTAGGGTAAATGGAAGCTCCTCTTGTGACCGGCTCAGCTTTATACAGTTTAAGGTACTTCACCGTATCCATTCCAGTAAGGCCAGATTGTCCAAATTCTACCCAAATATTGATGGTACATGTGACGGGTGTAAAGGCTCCTTGGTGGACTTGACCCACATGTTCTGGTCCTGTCCCCATCTGGCAGATTATTGGTCCACTATATTTAAATCCCTTTCTGAAGCATTTTATATAAAGTTGCAGCCTAGTGCAGAAATTGCTATTTTTGGAGTACCAAACAACAATCCTTCTCTGACCAATGGACAGCTGGATGCCATTGCCTTTGCCTCCTTGTTAGCCTGCAGAAGGATTTTATTGGATTGGAAATCTATCAATCCTCCCATATCTGTGGCAGATTGTTTCCATAGGAAAGAATTGCAAGAATAGGCTAGAAGAGCTATTAGTAATATGTTGAGAGCACTCCGACAACAGTTTAATACACAGCCATGCACCCATACACACACTCACTCATGCACATTCTCACACCCAGCACCACAAGCCAACAACGTTCCCAGTGTTACTGTGGTGTTCTGATGTTATCCCTGCCCAAATGGAAGCTGTTGCCCTTGCAGACCACCATGTACTTAAATAGTTGTTCACACAAGGACATTGACAAAGCAATTACATTTATCGAACAGCATGGAGGGTAAGAGAAAGAAATGGATTAAAATCAGATGTCAGTTCACTAAGGGGTTGAGTTATGTACTGTTGGAGCCAGTAACACAAACAATTCGCTGCACCTGCCATAATACCTGCAAATCTGTGTACGTGACAAAAAAACGTTGATTTGATGTAACTACTACATGATTAGTTCTAGATTTACTCCAACTTGATTGAGGGATGGAGTGTTGGACCTTTGAACTGAGTGGATTTAATGCTACTGTTACGATGATGCCAGATAACTGATCAGAACAAAAACCTCACTAACCTACATATAAACCATTAGATCCTGCAATGCCTTTTTTATATGATGTTTACTGTATTGTGTCCTATAATTTTTTTGCGTTCTTAGCACCAGAGTGGTCATGACAATATAGCGGTTGGCGACAGGACAAAGCAAGTCATGATTACTGATTAGCTGGGCCCGACCTTCTCCCTGCGGTCCCACGGCCTCGTCATTATCAGCCTCTGTGTATTAATAACTCTTTATGCACTGCTTTTTTTCCAGGAAGAAGGGGAGAATGTCAGCTCATTGTTCTCTTTCCAGGAAGTGGCCCAAAGACCTTGGGAGTGCCCCCTGGCCAATTTGAGAGGCCCTTGCCCCCCTCAGGTCCCGCCCCTTTCACTTTGATGGACATCTCCAGGTACAAGTCAATCAAACTTGACCAGACCATGTTACAAGTACAAAGCAGTGAATCACCTGTAAAGTGTGTTTTCACAGAGACTCTTCATTTGTTCCTGTAAAGTATCAGCATGTGTGTTTTCTGCATTGTACTATGTCAATGTTGCTAGCAATCTACAAAAATCTTAACTGACTTTAGAATTTGCAATGTGCTTCAGTAGGCTGTAGAGATTAAATCATTTTAGTGCCTGAGAAGAGGGGGGGAGGTTAGAAAACAGGAAGATGTGTGGTCTGTGCTGCTATATATATTCTGTATACATGCATCAAGAACAAGGCAAGGTAAAGATGCAATGATGTGCAGGAAGTAAAACAAAGGCACTAGATCCTGTAACCATGGCAGGTAAGGAGGATTACAAAAAAAAAAAATTACAAAAGAAAAAAACGAAAGAACACAAGAGTTTGTGCATTTCTTGAAAGTAATATGATGCACCATAGGGTTACCCCAGAACATTTTTATTTTGCCCCGTAGCAGTGTATCTGCTTTTGCAACCTCTGACATAGCACAAGGAATCAGTCAGACAGTTGGAAGCAAATTCAAATGTTTATTTACAACCTCTGTTCATCACAGAGTAAAGTGGTGTAAATACAAAAAAATTACAGCAAAATGGCAGCTAATCTCCCTGAGCTTTACAAAAACTACACAGGATTTGAGGGTGACAGCAGAGAGAGACAAAGAGATGTTCTGTACAGAGCTCTAAGGCCATTTACAGGGAAATGAAAGGGAGAGCGAGAGAGACATACACAAAGCTTCATATACAGATTCAGAAATGAAATACATAAGGGTATTTTTTTCTCCAGAAAACAACATGCTTTTAACAACATACATCCTTCCAAGAAGACTGGACATGCAGCTGGTGATGTAGAATAGAAATAGATGGCAAAACACCATTGGTTTGTCAAATTGCATACAAACCAAGTGGCAATTTATGTGGCAGGATCAATGAGTTAGCCAACTGACAGACACCGGTAACTGTTTTCAAGATCATAAAATGAAGCAACTTTTGAGGACTGGTTAGTAACAGTACAGAGTCCATGAACCAATGCCCATTTTTATGAACTGGAAAATTGGAGTTTCAGAAATTTATGAGAGTTATCTGGCCAAGTCACTGACCCCACATCATGTTATACCTTACTGGTTGAACATTGAGGGTGAAATACCCATCATGGATTTCAAAAGAACAGGAAGACTCTGAGCTCAGGTGAGAATCCCCTAGAACTAATTTCAGTCTCAATGTTTTGTGACAATAATAAAATAAACCAATCAACAGTAACCTCAGGTATTGGTTCTGAGGGGAAAAATATATTTACATGTCCTTCAGTGAGTCTTTGTCTATTATGGTGACACTGTTGGTTTTAAATCACTACATAATCTCAAAAATATATTGACTCTTACTGCCCCCCCCTTCCAATACCTATCCAATAACATCAGGGGGTACACGACAAGGAAACAAGCAAAGCACATGAGTGCTTCAGGGCACAACCAGCCTTCATAACATACTGTACATATTATTAACTGTTATAGAAGTAGGGAAGAGTTTCCTCTCTTTCCATCTCAGTGTAAAAAACTACTACTTTACCCAACGGGACCAAAGGTCTCCTTGTGTTTAGACAGTAACCCCTACTTCCTGTCAGCCATCAGAATCCACCGAAACGAAGAAAACATACCCCACCAACCTACACACAAGCACTTGGGTACCACAGCAGTAGCCTAGAAGGGTATGAGGAGTCTCTGGAGTCATGTGGCCGGCCAGTAGATTTGGCGAATGTTACATTTACATTTCATGTTGTGGGAACTGTAGTATCCTGCAGTACTAGATTTGTCCATAAAGCCCAGAGCTGCCACCGTTTTACTGGGCCTCCATTTTGGGGTGAGACACCGGGGTGTTTGGTGTTGATTTAAACTGTGTTTGTGTGTGTGTGTGTGTGTATTTTCATACATATGGAGTGTGAGTGTGTGTGTGGAAGGTAAAGAAACAGAGGTGAAATCTAGAGAGTAGATAAGGTACTGCATATTGCTTCTCTTGAGAGTGACGCTTTGGTGTCAAGGGAAGGAAAGTGAGCATCACTGACATGTGTGCCCTTGTTCAGTCTGTTTGAGTGGTAAGGTGTGAGTTGGGTGTACTGTAGGTGTGTGTAGGAGGGGGGGGGGGGGGGGGGGGGGGGTCTGTCGTTTGGCCTCTAGTGCTGGTTGTTCTGCATCGGCTGGCCAGTTTGGCTTTTGCCATGGTTCTCCTTCTCCTCCTCACTGACAATGAACTCCTCCGGTGGCCAACGCAGCTCGCCGCTCTCCACTTCCCCCTCCGTGGGCTCCACTACGATGGACGGCAGGCGGTCTTTCAGTTTACAGCAGCGCTCGAAGTCCGAGGGGTCCGGGAAGATCTGAGGAAAGGACAAAAACACACAGTTAAAGTCCTGGGTCTGATCAAAGTATTTCATGCTGCTAAATTTAATAGCTTTGGAAGGCATGGTGCCAAAGCTGCTTTTAAGTGATTACAAAATGGGGAAATTATACAAGAGCAAATCATAGTATTGCAAACCTACAGTAAGTTTGTTACAGTCAAGAAACCAAGCACGTTTTAAGGCAGTAGAGCTTTCTCTTAACTTAACCAAAAGAAAACTAGGTAGTAGATATTGTCAAGTCAAGTTTATTTGTCATATGCACTGGATACACATGGTACACAGTACAATGAAATGCTTACTTGCAGGTTCACTCTCGTCAGGTTCACTCTGATAGGCTGACTAAATAATCACCAATACCCCCATGATACTGAAAGCTAAGCAATGTGTATTATATCTCTGTGGAGTCTGCAGACAAAATCATTTAAAAAAAGCAGTGAAAGCTAGACCCAAATGGGTTGTGGGTGTGCAATGTCAGACTTGCTGAAGAACCCAGCAAGATGTGTAGACTTTATTGTATCTAAAATGAAGGGCATGAGAGAGAGATACTCTGACAAGGGATTACAGCCATTCGTAGTCCAAGAACAGCATTTTTTGCTGTTGTTTGGATAAAGTGGAAGAATATTTTTAGAGCTGACATTGGAGACATTGGAAGGGGAAACCGATGTCGCTGTCTGGGCAAAAAGCCCAGTGGAAAGAAAGCATTAGATGAGGCTGAGAGGGAGACACAGTGAGAGAGAGGGAGGAAGAGGAGGGACCAAGTCACCCTGAATACCATGAGAGGGGGATGAGGAGGGAAGGGACAAAATGTTCTGAAAACTGCTGTGTTTCAGTATGTTTGGCTGTGAGTGCCTGGTTAGTGGGACAGATTTAGCATTTGCATCTCCAGACATCAGCTTGAGTGTGTGCATATATGGGACTGAGTATGAATGTTAGTCAGTGCCTCTGTGTGTGTGTGTGTGTGTGTGTGTGTGTGTTAGTGCATGTGTGCGCAGGGAGGTTTAGTATCTGCATATCCTTGCCTGTGTTTCGAATGTCTGTGCGTCAGCACCGAGGGGGGATGGCAGAGTGTGACCTTGCTATAAGACCCCCAGCAACAACGTCACAGCTCAGTTCACTTCCAGCGGCAGGAAATGGCAACACATCGCCAGCGAGGCACAATGACAGCTATTTTGGGTTGTGGTGGGGTGGGGGTATGGGGGTGATAGGAGCTTTGGGCGAACAGGAATCACTCAAGTGCAGACTCCAATTGAAGCTGCCGCAGAGAAGCCCTCACCTCCGTAACCAACCTCCAGTTACTCTGCTCTATAACAATGCCGCCATGCATCATTCTTTTGCAGATTTTTTTTATACAGCGACTCAAACATGGGGGTTAATGCAAAATGTAATGCTGTGTTGCATTACAGTCAGAGATGCAGTTGGCATTCAGGAGATGGACTCACAAATTGTATCAAAGTCAACAGTAAATTTGGAGGAGGAAGCGGTTAACTGTTACAGTCACCCAGCTGTCTGTCTGTCCATCCTCCTGGGCAGAGAAGTGACCTTGGGTCTGAATAGAGTAGGCAAGGTGGGTGGGGTGGAAGTGGCATACCAAATGGTGATGCAGCCAGTCAAGGTGCTCTCAATGGTGCAGCTGTAGAACTTTTTGAGGATCTGTTGGGCCCATGCCAAATCTTTTCAGCCTCCTGTGGGTGAAGAGGCATTGTCGTGCCCTCTTCACGACTGTGTTTGGACCATGATAGATCCTTAGTGATGTGGACACCGAGGAACTTTAAGCTCTCGACCCACTCCACTACAGCCCATTCGATATGAATGGGGGCATCCTCTTCCCTGCATTCCACGATCAGCTCCTTTGTCTTGCTGAAGGAGGGAGAGGTTGTTGTCCTGGCACCACACTTCCAGTTCTCTGACCTCCTCCCTATAGGCTGTCTCATTGGCGTTGGTGATCAGGCCTTACACCATCATGTCGTCTGCTAACTTAATGATGGTGTTGGAAGTCGTGCGCAGCCACGCAGTTGTAGGTGAAGAGGAGTACAGGAGGGGACTAAGCACACACCCATGAGGGGCCCCCGTGTTGAGGGTCAGCGTGGCAGATGTGTTATTTCCTACACTTACCACCTGGGGGCGTCCCGTCAGGAAGTCCAGGATCCAGTTGCAGAGGGAGGTGTTCAGTCCCAGGGTCCTTAGCTTAGTGATGAGCTTGGAGGTCACTATGGTGTTGAATGCAGAGATGTAGTCAATGAACAGCATTTTCACGTAGGTGTTCCTTTTGTCCAAGTGGGAAAGGGCAGTGTGGCGTGCAATAGAGATTGTGTCATCTGTGGTTCTGTTGGGGCGGTATGCGAATTGGAGTGGGTCCAGGGTGTCTGGGATGATGGTGTTGATGTGAGCCATGAACAGCCTTTCAAAGCATTTCATGGCTACAGATGTGAGTGCTACGGGGCGATAGTCATTTAGACAGGTTACCTTGATGTTATTGGGCACAGGGACTATAGTGATCTGCTTGAAACATGTAGTCATTACAGACTGGGTCAGGGTGAGGTTGAAAATGTCAGTAAAGACACTTGCCAGCTGGTCAGCGCATGCTTTGAGTACACGTCCTGGTAATCCGTCTAGCCCTGTGGCGTTGTGAATTTTAACCTATTTAAAAGGTCTTACATCGGCTACGGAGAGCGTGATCACACAGTCGTCCGTAACAGCTGATGCTCTCACGCATGGTTCAGTGTTGCTTGCCTCAAAGCGAGTATAGATGGCATTTACCTCGTCTGGTAGGCTCGCGTCACTGGGCAGCCCGCGGCTGGGTTTCCCTTTGTAATCCGTTATAGTTTTCAAGCCCTGCCACATCCGACGAGCATCAGAGCTGGTGTAGTCGAATTCGATCTTAGTCCTGTGTTGACGCTTTGCCTGATGGCTCGTCTGATTGTGTAGCGGGATTTCTTATAAGCGTCCGGGTTAGTGCCCCTCTCCTTGAAAGCGGAAGCTCTAGTCTTTAGCTCAGTGCGGATGTTGCATTTTAATCCATGGCTTCTGGTTGGGATTTTTTATTTTATTTTTTTATTTCACCTTTATTTAACTAGGTAAGCCAGTTGAGAACAAGTTCTCATTTACAACTGCGACCTGGGATATGTACGTACGATCATGTAGGGGATGAAAACGTTGATGCACTTATTATTGAAGCCGGTGACTGTCATCGGATGGGTCCTGCAACCTATTCCAGTCTGTGCTAGCGAAACAGTCCTGTAGCTTAGCATCCGCTTCATTGGATCACTTCCGTTTTGAGCACATCACTGGTACTTCCTGTTTGAGTTTTTCCTTGTAAGCAGGACTCAGGAGGTCATGGTCAGATTTGTCAAATAGAGGGTGAGGGAGAGCTTTGTATGCGTCTCTGTGTGTGGAGTAAAGGTGATCCAGTTTTCTTTCACCTCTAGTTGCACAGGTGACATGCTGGTAGAAATTAGGTAAGACGGATTTCAGTTTTCCTGCATTAAAAATCACCGGCCACTAGGAGCGCCGCCTCATAGTGGCCTCACAGGAAAGACACAGCTGGGGTGTAAATGGTGAGAGGAAGGCAGCCCACCTTCCTACAGGGTCAGTCTGCATCCTCTTGGTCAACTCTGACACGTACAGCCACAGACACTCATAAAGGAGTGGGTTGGCCTTAAAATGGCTCAGATTCTTTCCAAACAATAAAACTTGTCAAGGCCACCTGAAGGCTTGCTACTCAGAAAGTTGCCCATCTGTGAGTTGTATTGTCGTGACATGTGCTCAGGCCCCCACAGTAAAGTCTGGAAGATTCCACTCTCCTATTAATTTCCTTTGCATGTTTTTAAAAGCCTTTGCAATCATCTCTAACTCCCTGCAAAGCTGCACTCCACCTCAAGGCAAAACTTTTTTTTTCGTTAAATAGCCCCCCTTGAAAACCCCAAAAAGATTTTGTTTGCATAACTTGTTACAACAATAACGTTGATTATTAGACCCCCTGGTTGGAAAACAAACCTCTCCTTACCCATGGTCCCCTGGGTGAGCTGCCTACAGTAAGAGATATGATGGAACATGCTGTCCTTAATCCAACCTCAACCTTTTGTTCAATATCCAAGACCATCTTTGGGTTACTAATAGTGGTGAGGACTTTTGAACATGGACGAGTTCCATAAACCAATTAAAACTAGTACACCCTCTGCCTCCTAGTTTGGCATCCCCCTTATAAAGTGCTCTACAGTGCGACCATTTTACTCGCATATGTGCCTAAATATTTTGCTGTGCGACCTGGAATTTTTATTTAGGAGTACCAGTGCGCCTACAAAAATGTAAGATTCTAGCTTTATTACCTCACATCTTTTTCATTGTGCTCCTACATTTCTTTGTGTGTGCTTAAACTTTCCAATTTAGGCACACAAGTGCTCCTTGTAAAAAAGGTCAGCGTAGAGCCCTGCCCTTATGGGTTATGTACCACAATCTTGCTGCAAACCAATTTCCCTCTGGGACAAAAACTGGTGTTAGTATGTGTGTTAGTTACCTGGAAGGAGAGCCGGTCCTTGCTGGGGCTGAGCCTCATGTCCTCCATGGGGGTGCTGCTGATCATCACTTCAGTCATGTCTCCGCTCGGCATAAACACTGGGCTGGACAGAGACATAGGGGAAAGGACTGGGTTATTCCACCATTCAGGATCCAATATCAGATCAGTCCCAAACTTTCACAATGAGGAGCAGTATTCAGAGCACCAGTGGTGGAAAAAGTACCCAATTGTCATACTTGATTAAAAGTAAAGATACCTTAATAGAAAATGACTCAAGTAAAAGTGCAAGTCACTCAGTAAAATACTACTTGAGTAAAAGTATTTGGTTTTAAATATACTAAAGTATCAAAAGTAAATGTAATCGCTAAAACATACTTAAGTATCAAAGCTAAAAGTATAAATCATTTCAAATTCCTTATATTAAGCAAACCAGGCAGCACCATTTTCTTGTTTTTTATTTTATTTACTGATAGCCAGGGCACACTCCAACACATAATTTACAAACAAAGCATGTGTGTTTAGTGAGTCCGCCAGAGCAGAGGCAGTAGGGATGACCAGGGATGTTCTCTTGATAAATGCGTGAACTGAACCATTTTCCTGGCCTGCTAAGCATTCAAAATGTATGGAGTAAAAAGTACATTCTTTTTTTAGGAATGTAGTGAAGTAGAAGTAAAACTTGTCAAAAATATAAATAGTAAAGTAAAGTACAGGTACCCCAAAAAAGTACTTAAGTAGTACTTTAAAGTATTTTTACTTGAGTACTTTACACCACTGCAGAGCAGGTACATGTGTCCCAATCATAGTGCTGTACAATGGAGAATGGATAGGTTGGTGCGATATCATTTACATGTAGCTATTACTTTGGCAAGTGTTACGCAAATTAATCCTATCAGCAAGATGACCGAGTATGACTTTCAGTCATGTAGTTGTTGTGCATGAGATATGGCCCTTTGGTATTGTTTTTGCAATGACAAAGCTACGCATAAGCCTTGTTCAGTCTTTTGTTTAGTCTCTATGCATGCATTTGCTTTCATTTAGTCTGACCACTGACAGGCTATGCAGCATAGATTTGGTGCACTGCACAGCTACACCACCACCGAGATGTGGTTTGCATTGGGTAGCCATGTCTAAATACAGGATGAGGTATGCTTCAACTAGGAGTGAGGGGACACAGTCATAGCGAGAATGCATTGTGGGCGTGCAGTGCAATTTGACAGGGACCCATAACACCCTATAACATGGGAGGGATCCAATACCCTCAGTTACATCAAAGGTTCACCAAACGTTCCATTTTAGTTGAAGCAAGACGCACTGTACATGCTGAAGCACTGTAAGAAATGACTGAACAGGGGGACTGAACGGAGGTACTATGTGGCAGGAAATCTATTCTTGGGATGTTTGAGAACCAAGATGGCAGCCGAGCAGAGTGCACTTCTCATGCTTTCTATTTAAAGTCTGGTGGCACAGCGGTCAGTGTCCAAAGGACTGTGGTCAGGGTGGCCAACCCACCATAGGGGACAGGAAACATGGATGACCACCTGCCTCAGATGAGCAGAACAAGCACAGACTTGGTCCAAATATAACAAGTCAGTTTGTTTCTGCAAAAATGTGAATATTGGGTGCCATTAACCTCCTTTTACAGTAGAAACAATGGAACGTTTAGTGGTTGGTCATTTCAACATACCGTAGCCATGACCAACAAAACATTTTAGGTAAAACCAATGACGTGCACTTAAAAAAAGCAGCCTACATTTTTTCCATTTATATGTTGCTCCGGATGGAGTCTGTCTCAACTTAATCTTAAAAGCTCTCTTTTCTGAATATCTGAATATTTTTCTGAGGTATTTTGACAGTAATCCTATGTACAATGTCAGACAAGACCCTGAACTGGACTTCCAGACTCTTTATGGAGAAATCAACAGTGGAACCTCAGTGACACTTTCAGTTTGTAAACTTCCTGTGATCGGAAAATGAAATGTTTTCACCATAAGAGATTGTGGGCAAAAATGGAGATGTGTCGTATGACTCATAGTTTGCCACTCACTCATGTTCCTTCACTGCTTTGTTGACTTCTTTCTAAGATGTCCATGTTTATTATTCAAGAACCTATAAATCCCCACACAGTAAAGATAAGACAGTCTCCAGTGGGAATCAAGACTTTTCATCAAAAGAACACCTGTCAGTGACAGCGGTTTAAAAAGCACCAAAAAAGTTGCCTCATACTCTGATTGGAGAAAAACAACTGGAGATCAACAACCATTATTTCATTCAATGGGGATTATGTTCCAGATTAAATCTTTAAACTTCTGTCAATCCAATAATTGCAAATAAAGCCCCTATGCCATCCACATTTTCCAACACGTCACTTTCATGTAAAAGGTATTGGCCTTATGGTACCATAATACAGGACTGAGGAGATGTATAAATTCCTTAGGATAAGGGACAAAGCCCCTATACATTATAGTGTTAATCTATCCTGAATCTGTCAGAAAGAGTCAATGGCTTCAAACTGAAAAGGAGAGATGTGTGCAATAAATCAATTGACACAGCAACACATTGCCACACCCTGAAGCAATGGCTACTGCTGTTAAACAATCAATATTTCCATTCCCAAATTTGCATACCATGTGTCACATTCAAATTGGAAGAATATTTTTGTGCAGGTGGGGGCCGCAGGGGGAAAGCACAAGCCAAGACCCAAAGGCAGAATAGGTTTCTGGAATCTTCTCATACTTTTACAAATCAGTCGACTTGGTTCAGCGACAACAATAGCCGGAAATCTAAAAATAAAAACTAGTCCAAAGGATATTCAAGGATGAGTGTGGAAAATATGTCAAAAGACCCTTGAGATTGGAGAGAGGGTAAGCCAGAGACACATGGAGAGGGATGGACACAGAGTGGTGACAGTACAGACCTGTGCAGAAGAGCGAGGAGAAAGATAAACACTCTGCCTTTGCCAGTCATATTTCTGCTCGGGGATCGTATAAACATCCTGCTCAGCTAAGAATAACAGAACATCGGCCTAATAAAACATAAAGGGGCACAATGAGGAGCACACGTACTGTAACAATTCAACCAGTGAGAGAACATACCATTCAAATCCATTACTGCTAAAAGTGTCTGCCCGATGTTACAAAATGTGTCCTTTTTTCCAAAAAGAATGTGGAAATGAGCCATGTTAAGTGTTCTGTATAATCAAACAACTCCAAATGTATGAGGATAATGATTACCATGGGCTATGCAGATAGGAAACACTTCACAGGTTCAACACTTTGAAGCCATTGTGCCAACTAATGCAGAGGCCAAGAGGTCAAATGTTGTGCATTCCTACTTCTACCCTGGCAGCACCCATCCAAGTACACATTTATTCTAAAAGGGCACCCCAAATTCTCTAATGCCCACTGCCAAAGATCAGTCACGGCACTCCACTTGTCAAGGACATATTCACTCAAAACCACTTTAAAATGATCTTAATCTTAATCCTTGACCAGGATTGGCCTGGGATGGCTCCTTTCTGACTATTGCCAAGTAGAACTTCTGGCTGGACTTGCTGTCCCATCTTCCATGGGCATGCGACATGATCAGGTACCGGCCAGCTTGGCACTTCAGTGACTGTCTTTAGCACTGTCAACAGAAACAACTAGGCCTACACAGTCACATATGGGCTAATGCCAGTCCTATGTGGGCTAATGCCAGTCCTATATGGGCTAATGCCAGTCCTATGTGGGCTAATGCCAGTCCTATGTGGGCTAATGCCAGTCCTATGTGGGCTAATGCCAGTCCTATATGGGCTAATGCCAGTCCTAACACGTGTCCTGGCTAAACAAATAAAACTAAGGATCACAGAGGTTTCCTGCTGCATTTTCAAAAGATATAGACCTAGTGAGGGGTAAGGGTGGGTCAATCTAGATGGGCTTTGGCTAATCATTATGGAGCATGTGTGAAGGTCTGTCTGTCCAACATTACATTTACAGTGTCAAATATATTTTTAGATGAATCTGTGGTGAGAACAGTGTGACGACTCCAATTCCTGGATCGATGCCAGTCAGGATTTGTTCTTTAGGGTAGGTCTCTCTACAAAGCTGCACAATCCCATCAACTCTAAAGGGCAAATGACCCAGTAACTAAAAATAATATTACCCTACCCTGTATGCTGTCTGCTGTTTCATCCTCCAAGTGTGTATGGTATGGACATGACACACATTGAGGACACATTGTTCTATACAGTCATGCCAAGTAATCTGCCAGTCTGTGCTGACAGAGACAAAACATATATCCCCATAGCAATGCGACCCGGTGCACACGATAGAATATTACGTCTTGCATAATTAACATTGTTTCTCCTCTACTCCTCCCGAGTCTCGCTATGCACATTATACATCTGAGGAGGCTTGGCGACAAGGCGAAGCTGCTGCTGAGATTCCATACCAAAACTGGGCGGTAACACTATTTGTATAGTCCATCTGTAGATGCTCTACAGACTATCTACAGCAGGGGTCTCCAACCTTTTCTAGCACGAGAGCTACTTTTTTAAAATGTAACATGTCGCAAGATACAATTTTTTTTCTAGCTTTCAAATAGGCACATTCTTCTCTAGCTTTCAAATAGGCACATTCTTCTCCTCTACCCTGCAACTCTTCCCTCGCTCTAACCCTAACCCTTATCCTCATCTTATTCTAAACCTAACCGCAGGGCCGGCTCTAGCTTTTTTGGGGCCCTAAGTGAGATTTGGTTTTGGGCCCCTCCCCACCTCACGGGTAAAACATTTTAGTGCCCCCCCCGACATTGTCCTGGAATTCTACCCATTTTGCAAATGGGGAGGAGAGACATTTTAGCAATTTTATAACAAATTTCATGCAATTGTACTCATTTTGCATGGGGCAGAGAAAATATTTGCAGTTTTACAGCAAATGTTCTGCAATCCTACCCATTTTGCCATGGGGTGGAGAGACATTTCCATTTTAAATCGAATTTCCTGTAATTCTACAAATTTTGCCTTGACTTATGCCATGTTAATGATATCTGAGTGAGAGTGACTAACAAAAGAAATAGGGGCCCCCTGGAGGTCAGGGCCCCTGGGCACGTGCCCTGCATGACCAGTCGGTATTCGGCCATGA